AATAATTAATAATTGTGCACGCGTGCACGTGTGTATGAATATACATAATAAAACTCGATGATTGAAAATATTAAGTTACTAATATATTCATTTATTAAACAACTCTAACTCTTCTTTTTCTTCTTATTAAGGGGATCCTAAAGACAATTAGTCATAGTGTAAGTAGGCCATATATACAAATGATTTACGTATCATTGACACGTTATTACAAACTATTACATCAATATATCTTATGCACACGTACACATAAATTGTCGTATAACAATGATGTTTTATTACATTTAAGTACAAAGTAAAACAATTCTAAGAACTCCACATTAATAAGATTGGAAATAAGACCGTTTATGTAAGTGAGTGTCACCTAAATACGAGAAGCACCACTTGATGATCAAAGTTAGATAATGCTCTGTTCGATTAATGTTAGAATGCTCTTGTTTTTGATTTTATTTTGAACTTTGACGTGATAAAATAAATCACACATTTTCATTTCTTGTGTGTTTTCATTCCGAGAGCATTTCGCGGGCGTGAAGCATGTGCAAGCATGTGATGTAAGAAGACAAGGTGTACCATTACCGAGGATGCGCAGTAGGAGAATAAATTGTGTGGGTAAAATTTCATTCTTACATCATGTGTGCAAGTACGTCGTGCGTGATTCTCCTTGCGCGAATGTAACATTATGGATTTATCTTATAAATTTATCTAATTTATTTATAGATCCGGGTTCAACTCTCGGTCGAGGTAATATTTTTCGGAATATATTCTTCATAGATTTTTAAGATATTAGGTGGATCCATATATTCCTTCGGTTTTTGTTAGTAGTGCAATTTTTTTCCGAGTATCTCCGGTTCTGGTTGCCTTCAAAAATTTTACTTTCAAAAAAATTTTAGCCTTCAAAAACCGAACGAATATATGGATCCACCCAATATATGTAATTAAATTTGGGAGATTATAGTATTTCAGATGAATTACGTTGAAAAGTCCGATAGTAACGGCACGCTCAATCATATTTCTGAGATAAACTCATTTAGAAGAATATGCGTACACGTATTAATTAGTGCAACATTGGCACTTGTCGTATTTAGATGATGAACTCCACATTGTTTCTTCGTGCAAACGAATACTATAGTTGGTAGACTACTGTTTCGTAAATGCAGATTACATAGCTTTTATGCGAAGCAAATGTCACGACGTGATAGCTGTAGAATAGCCATGTTAGAATAAAAATTGGTAAAGATATTAATTTCGAAATTTTGTATCGTTTTCAGCATGAATTCTATTCTTCACAAATTCGTATTAATGCGTATATTTCAATCCTGATAAAGGATTTTCGAAACTGTACAAGAAAAAAAAGTAATTGTTATACAAAAAATTATATGGTTTAGTCAGTAATACAGATAGCTTTAGGATCCTCTTAATGTGTTTCTCATTCATTTATTATTTTGTCATAAGACTATTGAAAAGTAATCTCAAAATACAATAGATATTGTAAAAATATTTTAAAACAGTATTTCAAAGACATCAAAATAAATTGGACACTTTAAAAGCATTGCAATAACGTATTTCCAACAGTTTCACAAGATAGTTTCGAAATGCTACATTTTAATATAATTATAATATATCATAATGTTCTTTAAGATAGACATAATACAAACAGCTTAAGCATAAAACACAAGATCTTAATAATAATACATGGAAAGGGAAAAAATGAGCGTTATCAAACTCTTTTTAATAAAAAAAAAATTCAATAATACTTATTATTATACAATATATGAGCACAATTGCCCAAGATATCACTGTATGTAAATGAAAGAAAAAGAGATATAGCGGTTATATTTTTCGTCTTTATTTATTCCAGCTTGCTCATTAAACCATTGCCAGCATAAAAATCACTCAATCTATTTAGTGAATTCAACAGATATTAATTTTGTGTACATATTCTAGTTTTCTATATATATTTTCTAAAAATTACTATACACTATACAAATAATGAAAATATTTAAATACAAATCATAATATAAATGCACTAATTGATCAAAAGTCCAATATGCATTCCACTAAAAGTATGATACCAACATTAATATATTTTATTATTTTACTATACTATTTTATTATACTATATTATATTTATTTTAAAAATATTTATATCGAATTTTTTCTTGATAAGTATAATAACTTTAATAAGTACAAATGTCCAAATTCGCTATATATTATATATCTTTATATCATATCTACTCAACATCTAACGATGACATATTGATTATAGAATTGACCTAAAAATTGGGACTAAATTTATAAGTCAATAATCTCCACGAGTTCACAATATGGACGTTTAATTGTATCTGCCAATATATAAAACTTAAATCTTGAATACATTTATACATAGTATGTCATAAAGATTAGGTGAAAATCTATATATTATATGATTATGCATTGCAAATGCAAAATTCACACACAAATTGGGATTTGAAAAATATTTTAAAATTACATTTAATTTCGTAAGGGAGGCCCCATATAGTCTAGACTCGAAGAGTAAAAGTCTGGCAGATTTTCTACAACTGATAATTGCACTTCTTCGATTATATCTATCGATTCTGTATATAACTTAGACTTGACTGTCTTGAAGAATGTACACGGTCTTGTTCCTTTGCCAAACTCATCGACGTCGTATGGTGGGCTGAGTATGTCTAGGAAAGCTGCAGGTCCTTCCACGCATGAAATTTCATGAAGATTTTTTTCTGTTGGTGTAAAAATGCAAGCAGGCGAATTGCTATGAAGACGGATAGGCCGATGCTTAACTGCCACAATCTCCTCCTTGGTTTTAATCACATGATTACTCTTTGTCTTCAAACTGTAGCTGCTTAATTCTACCATACCACTGATAACCTATATTATAATATCTGTATTATAATTCGTATATGTTATTGTCGTATGAGCAGCAGACTTTCAAAATGTGTTTTGTCCAAAATTTATAATTTTTAGAAAAAAACGAGAAAGAAAGTCACAATGAAACCATGCGCCCTATAGAAAGTACCAATTTACCAATTAGAGTTTATTAGTAAGATGTAAAATGTAGATCAAGCTTTATAATATAGATGTAAGATGAATATTAATCTTGATAAAATCGTGATCTTTAATTAAACAACAAAATATGTGTCCAAATATTAGGATAAAATTTATGTTCATAACGAACATTCACGATAAATGAGATAATTCAGCGTTCCGAGTAATGTGTATATTAATTGCAGAAATTATAAGTTTGAATCATAAAACATCAAGATTAAAATTGTTGTTGAAAAATTGATGTAAATAAACAAATGTAAGAATCATCTAAACATTTGGTGTCCTTTTGTAAATTTATATTGCATAACTGTTCTTTACATATGTTGATGAGATTATTTTAGTTGCGATCAAATTCAGAATATTGTAAACGTGTTCAACAGTTTCAATAATCGCCTACAATTCATATTTAAAATAGAAAATAACTACAACTTGAGCTTTTTAGATTTCTTTAAGGATGATACAATTTTTGTAAATTGGTAAAAGATCTTTTCGCGAAGATGTTTGTAATTTTTTTCATTCGTTAGGTCATAAGATTGAAACTAAATACAATCTTATTGATAGAGTGATTTTGAATTTTATTATGTTTTTCATCCTGTTTTTCAGGAGAACTTTGAATATTTATCAAATTGCTTTTGGAAAATTACTATCCATTAAAATTAATTTTTAGAGAAATAGTCTTTAGATTAAAAAAAACTATATCTAGTAGTAACATTTAGTAGTAAATTCTAATCACAAAAAATATTTTATACTTCCGTTTATACATCATATACTGTTATAAAATGAGTGAACAAATCTTTGTTTAAGCTACAATGTTTGAATCAATTCAATAAGTTCATAAAAATATAAACATAAAAATATATACAGAAATGTACATATACAGAAAATATAAACAGAAGTTGAATCTAAATGCAACGTGATTTATAAGATCAATTATAATGAGTGTAATGCGTCTTACGTTGGCCATGAGAAAAGAAAACTAAATGAAAAGGTAATTAAGTATGAGAATTACAGAGTACATTAATAATATCAAAATAGATTTTTTCGAAACACTTGGTGATCTCTGAGCACATTTTGAACCTTAATCTCTCACTCATTAAAAAAAAACATTAAAATTTTAGATTCTGTGCTCAATTATAATAAGAGGTTCATTTCCGAAATGCTTTACATTAAAAAACAGTTAAGTGATATAAATCTACAGAAAGATACTAAGCATTTAAACGATTCTTACTCTCTCTTTGTTTACTTAAATCAATTTCTCAATAATAGTTTTAATCTCAATTTTTTATAATTTAAACTTATATTTTTAGTTAATATATGTACGCGTTGCTCGAAACGCTTTCTCATTTATTCGTTCATTAGGACATGAAGTTTTATCTCTTATAATATTATATACCATTGTTTGATTAAGGGTCACGATACTAGTAAGTTGAATATTCATCTTAATTTATCTATTTCATAAGATTCTTTTGAATGTTTTGACACAATTTCATTTTTTAAATTTACGCTCGAGATATGTACAATACTTTTAATGGCTTTTTTTAAAATGAATTTTAATTCCTTGACTCTACTCTTTCTCACCCACCAATGAAGAAATAGTTTCGATTTTAACGTATACAAAAAATTATTTAGTATAACGTATAAAAAAAATTATTTAGTGGTTTTTAATTTTAATATTATTTAATGTGTGTAACTTACTACGTAATTTTATGATCGATTTTTATCTTTATTTGTACTTTAATATCGACTCTTTCCAATGCTTTAATTATTAAGAATTTTATATATACAATTTGTTCTCAAACTTTTAATTTATATTTTATTGTAATTTGTGGATGAAGAAGAGTATAGTCAAAACATTCCATGCATTGCATATTAAGGAATAACCAGTGTTTTAACCCCTTCTTAACGTTTTAATGAATTAATTTAAATCCTAGATATAATTAATTGCTCGTTGTTTGATCTTATTAATTTTATTATCTTGTAAGAAAGCATTTATAGTTATACCTCCACTCGAATTTTTTCTTTTTCATTCAGTTTTATTATACCTCCTATCAAAAATATTAAGCTAATGTTGTTTGATTTTGGAATAATTTTTGTATTATACTATTGATTTCTATGTACTACATTGTACAATAATGCTTATACAAACGATAATGTACTATAAGCATTTTTACCTTTAACAAACCATGCATTTCAGGATGATCATGCATAGGCAACTTGACTCCATGTTTTAATATGAAAATCGCAATTGTTATGTCCTTGTTCTCGAATATATCCATCACACACATAGGTGCCGGCTGCCTATTGACGTAATCAAGAATATTTTTATCGAGTTTTACATCCTCAGCTGTTATCTTATTTATTAGATTCAACAATTTGTCTAAGTTTTTTTGACAAAACCGGCGATCACAAAATGTTTTCATTGCTTGTTTTCCCAAAATTTCGATTGCCGATGCCATAATCAAATATGTTAGTATGCCACTTCTTTCTTGAACTTTTAATCATCTGGATTGACAAGCGATTATAAAGTATTTATGTTCAATCGTATACCTGGAAAAGATTTTATTTATGATAAAGAAAAAACGTTTGAATATTCAATGTTCCTTCAAAGACTTTAGAAAAAATGATATGTCATGAAACAAAGTTTTTTTTACAAAGTATTAACATAAAACTTTTTTGCTTTTTATTATAGTAACTTACTACCCAGATAACAAAACGTTCCTTGGCATAAGAAAAAAAATAGGTGCCTAGCACAAGTTTCTCTTCAATAATTTCTCTTGCAATAATGGGTGCATTCAGAATGATAACTGCTCACTGAATATTTAGAGTGCGGTCCGCTTGGCGCTACAAATGTTTTGAAGCTTTTGATTGACCAATCGGAAGAAAGAATTTTA